GAAATGAATGGCTATAAATACTGTTTTGGAATAGTTCTAATTAATCTTGCTATTACTTTTCGCTTTTCCAAATAAACCCGAACCTCTTCAGCTCCTGTCACATTTGAGTACATGCCCAAATACATAATTTTTGTTGCGAAAGCGCTGATTTGTGTCGTTACGAAACCTCTGCAATTAACTAAATCAGGGATTTCGTCGTAATGGACCATAATTTCCGAAAGCCCCGTCAAAAAACTGAGACGAATTGCAACTCTCTCAATTGGGTTATTGCCATTTCGACTCAACTAACAGTCACCTAAGCTCTGTGTTGAGTACAAGGATGAATGTATCTGGACAATCTTTTTTCGAGTCGATCGACCAAGTCGCATGCACAATTTGTTGTTGGCGTTGTCACTCGCTAATTGTTATCTGGAAAAATGCTTTCTGCCTTTCGTTGGTGCATTGTCTTCCAACCATTGAAGCGTCCGACCAGGTTCAAGGGAGAGCCGTGTGCGTGTTGACTACGATTCAGCTTGCTGTTGTCTTTTAGCTTTTTGTGGCTGTCTGATAAAAGATTTGTTTTATAACATGTAGTATAAGATCTTACGCAAATGAAGTATGTGTTTAATACATTTAAATGTTTCCTTCTAGGATGGTTAAACAGTGGTAGCATGAATAGTGCGTGATATTATCATACAGCATCCGTATTAACAAATGGAAAAATGTTAGGTACTGGTGGATATAATGATGGTACTTGTTCAAATACTGCTGTGTTGTATGATCCGTCAACAGGAGCTTGGACAACTATTGGTAGCATGAATACTGCACGATATCAGCAGACAGCAGCATGAAAAAGTGTTAGTTGCTGGTGGAACTAATGATAATGTTGATATTTTCAATACTTCGGAGTTGTATGATCTCTCAACAGGAGCTTGGACAACTATTGGTAGCATGAATAGTGCACGATTAGCTCATACAGCATCCATATTAACAAATGGAAAAGTGTTAGTTGCTGGTGGCTTTAGTATGGGTATTGCATTGGGTATTGCACTGGATAGTGCAGAACTATATTATTCATCATAAATAGGTTAACGATAAACGATTTTTGCTCTTTGATACAAATAGGCTAGAGGAGTGTGTGTGTGAGCTTCTAAACTAAATTGAAGCCACCACGACGTATTTAGACCTGGTCGAAGGGTCTCGTTAGGAGGCTCTGCATCTTCATGTTTCTGCGTCTTTTTTATTTTTTCTTGTCTTATCTAATTTTTTATAATTTAAACATGTGTATCTTCTTTTTCTATAGCAGAGAAAGCATTCTTGCTTACTTAGTTTGATGTTCGATGTTTCTGCTTTTTCACACGAAGTTTAGCGCTTTAAATTGTATCCTGGCTTCTGTTTTTATGAGTCCTTTCATTGTAGAATGAATCCAGTATATTTGTCGTACTTGAATGCTATTTTTGTTGTTCTTTTTTGTGATCTCACACAAAGGATAGATATTGAATGACCATCATGATATGTTTCGTCTATCGCAAAAAACTTGGCGAAAACAATCATCGAAAGAGTAGACAAGTCGAATGCGCATTTTCGAATTATATTTATATGTTCGCACAATATCGATTTACCATCTAATTTAGATTTTATTACCTGTTTTTATAAAGCTTTACTCTGGCACAGGTCTATCATTTGGGAGTAATTTTGTTGTTATTAATGATCTTACATCGTAGACGGTAACCTAAAGACAATATTTAAGACTACCTTAAAATCGAGTGCAGTTGATTTCAAGGGAAAAACAATTTCACTTTGCTATATGTTTCCTTGTTGGGGTGAAAAAGTCCCTCTTAATAATTTAAGATTTTCCTTTGACACAGTGTCTATATCTAACCTCTAAATATATCACGCATAGTAACTCTAACACCCGTCTCTTTTGGTAATCTATTATAAAACATTAGTGCTTGAGAAACATTAATTCCAAAGATATCATAAAGAGCAATACTCACAAATATGGAATCATCTGATCCAGTATAATAACAGTCGAGATCTACTATATTTTCAATTTTTCCTCTACTTAATCTATATACAGTTATGTTATTTCACACTTGAATTCACTCTACGAGTTGGCAGATTCTTGTCCAACTCTGCTGTGATTCTTTTATGCAGATATCTGTGCGAATATATTTGTACTAGTCTCGACGTGATTATTAATAATGGTGGATATGCGCCTGATAAGAGGGGAAACGTTCCTCGTTCTGATAGGATGGATGCGTTCGAAATGAATGCACTTGGTCCATTATTGGTCGTCCAGCAACCGCTCAGAAAAGGTGAAATGAAGAAAATTTTTAATCTATCTTCATTGCCTGGCAGTCATGAAATGAGTCCGGAAAGACAGGTTGCCTATTCGACTGCAAAGTGTGTAAACTTACTGAATATGATTGCCAGTGTCTTTGGAAAAGAGTTGGCGAATGAAAGGTTTACCGTTGTTGCGGTGCATTCTCCAGTTGAGACGGATATGCGCCCGGATTTGAAATTGCCCGGCGAGATGCTGCATATACAACGGGAGGAGAGTGCAGAGACGAAATGCTAGGCGTTCTGCGAGGGAAGTACCCTTAAATATCACCAGTTCTGTAGTCCCAGCTCTTGAACAAGTCTAGCGTACCTAAAAGTTAGAATTGTGATACATCTAATTTCGTCCCAGTTCTCAAATATACAATTTTAATCCTTTGAAAGACTGTTGCCAAAAATCAGTCACGTTAGAAAAATTCATTTGTCCAGATTTTTGTTGCGCATAACGTGCACTGCTCACTTATTGGAAATATTACCTTATCTGCACCCAATGTTTCACGTAAAACTTGTAAGATTTGTTTCTGGATGTTCGGGATGTTGTTGTTCTGGATTAACTCTAACTTCGCCCATCGATATAAATGGATCACGAAAAATTGCTACCGGTTTTAAATAAATATCCGATTTTTCACCTTCAGCTTGTCCAGTTGCTGAACCATCGTATGACCATCATGATACATCTTAAGTTATCCAATGGACGTATATCAACTGTGTTTGTCAATTTCACAAGTGTACATTTTATTGACTATTCGGTGAACTTAAATAAAGTAAAGTGAGAGAAAGAAAAAGTGAAAATCTCCTCTGATGCTATGTAAAACAAGATCATTGGGTTTTCTAGTATGAGTGCAATTTTCTGTTGAGAGGCTAAGAGAGAGTGTATGAGCACAGCCAGAGAGGTTAAAATATGGAAAAAATGCCGCATATTCGCCTGGAAATAAATGTTTTCATTCGATTTTTTAAATTTATTATATATATAGAAATTTATTTTTCGAAAAGTAATTATATATTCTCATAGCACTTGGAACTTTCGATTAGTCTCTGCTTTCCCAGCCTGGATTCCAAATCATTTGCTGGGAAAAATTTTGAATATTGTTAATGTCCCTCCCATCTATCACATCCTTAGGAATTATAACGGTTCTCAGTATTTTCTATTTTTCTCATGTTTCTTGAGGACCCAAGGGTTAATGTTTTTCCTAAGAATATGAGATGCGAAATGCTCTACAAACCATACCTAAACTTTAACTTCAGAACATCAATCGAGAAAACTATGCAGATTATACGAAAGACGAAAAGAATGAAAACTTTGAAAATCTGGTATTTTTTTCACTTGAATCTTTTTCTTCTGCTATTATTTCCGTAAAAAAGGGTTGCAAGCGTGAGAAGTGAGTTATTTTTGTACTTTCCAATGATAGATCCAGAACATGTTGACAGACATTTTGGTGTAAGATTTTTAATTTTGAGTCAGATTCGACCTTGCATATGCACGAATACCTCATTACAGGCGACTATGACTTTCATGGTAATTTTTGACCCCAGAACGGGATATGTGTAGGTTTGTAAGGAAAACTTCCTCTATCTAGTGGTATATATATTATAAAATGCTGTTGCGTACCGTGAGAGAAAATTAAAGGTAATCCCTCTCTTTTTACACTTTTTTAGAAATATTTTTTATTTTTGAGTTAAATATTGTACATTATAGAGTAAAGTGTCCTCTACAAGAGATCACTTCCAGCTCTCTAAGACCCTTCGTTGAGGAGATATAAATTTTTTAAAATTTGTTACTTTATTCTGAAAAAACCCTAGTTTCTTACTTTCGAAACTCTTTCCTCTTTCGTTCAGTACTTGATAAACTTTTGAAGGTATATCTTTTATACAGCTAGTTTGTCTTATCAACCAAAGATCAAATGTGTAGTATCAACCAATACGAAATGAAAATAGTATATGATTTATTAATGTAGACCGGTTTCGTATTCTTCGTCAGTACATTAACAATACAATAGTAAAAAAGAT